CGGGAACCTAATCAAAATATCTCAGAATTAATACCGGACTATCACGCATTCAAATTGAAATCATCATTAGGATCACTCCTAATCACAATACTATTTCCATAAATCTCCACATGATCAAATATCTCCAAATTCATTCTTATATCACAAACTAATCACTTAAATCCCCGTTAAATGTTGGCCCTCGGGGTGTGAACAGTGTCGGTGAACAGTGTCGTGAACAGTACCCGTGACTTTCACAAATTGGCCAAAACACTAGCTAATCTCACGGGATTTTCTCTCCAAAAATCACAACAAGCAATTAACACTCAATCACATAAATCCCACTTGAATTAATGCTTAAATCTCATCCTAAAGCTACCGGAATTATCCCCCATTTTTAGCCAAATTCGGACATCACAACCAGCAAACTAAATGAACAATTTAAGCCTTAAAAGGCTGTCACATACTAGAATTTTCCAGCTAAAACCGGGGCTGTAGGGGGAGAAGAGAAGCCGGCGGCAATTTGGAGAAGAAGCTCACGGGTTCTACCCAAAAATTGGAGGAAATAAGAGCAATTAACATAAACCCAAGGCAATCAAAGCTAGAGAAGGGAGATTCATGGCTGTTTCTTACCCAAAATCGGAGCAAATCACCCCCACAAACAAGAGCAGCCGGCGGACAGCAGAGGGAAGAGCAGAGCAGATCCGGAAGCTTCTTGCAGGGGGGAGATTTCTGGGTTCCAAATCAGGTTCTAGAACAAGAAAAGAAGGGGAAATCATCAAGCTTTACCGGTTTCTCAAAGCATGGCTGGTTCCCCCCTTTTTTTCTTTCTTTCGGGTGGCTGCAGCGGGAAGAAAGGAGAAGAACAGCAGAATCGGGCTGGAGAAGAAGAAAGAAAGAAAGAAAAAGGAGAAAAGAAAAGAAGTCATCCTTATCCAAAATCTTTCCCTCTTTAAGTCCCTCAACTTTCAGAATGTTCACATTAGGACCCAAAACAATCTTTTCTCACAATCAAGTCCTTAACTTACACTTAAATATTTCCGAAAATTTGGGATATTACAATTTGTTTAAATAATAAATTTGTGGCATCAAGTTTTAAATAAGATGGTCTTTATTTTCTTTCTTGTACACTTAATTCTATTGCATGCATTGAAAA